GTTGTGAAGTTGCTGGAGAAGCCGTAAGGCCCACACGGCAGGGTATTTCCTAACTGGCCCTTCACATACACACATACAGAGAGAGAGAGAGAGAGAGAGATGGCCCCCTAGTTCTAGGTCATAATGAGGAGAAGCACACTTGTACGATGAGAGTTCCACACTGTCTTCTGGCCTCCAGCGAGAAGCCCTCGTGGGTGGGAGGAGCCGAGTGACAGCAGCTGTCCCCACGGGAGGCCCCAACGTGTGCACGTGTGATCCGTCATCTTCCCTGCAGCCGCCCTCCCCTCACTCACTTGGGGATCTGGTGGGGACTTCTTCCTCCCAGTCACTCACAGCTCTTGTCACATTGATGTAAACACCGAGGACTCCTCAGACCTCCGCCACCGGGGCCCACAGCCTGACTGAGCACCCACACAGAACAAGAGCCCCGTGGCAAAGCAGTGTGGATGCTGTGTCCCTTGTCTCTTCTCCAGTGGACCCAACAGCATCAGAAGGTTATTCTCTGTCTACTTGGATCTCTCACGGATGGGGAAAAGCTGCAGTTAGGCCACAAATGTAAAACGAAGTTGGCAGTTAGCACTGTATCCAAGTCAGTCAGCTGGTGAGGACAGAGCCCTTCAGATCAATGCTGCATGTCCCACAGAACACCATAAAGAATGAGGCCCTGGGTGTGGTGGAATGAGGAGGTCATGCCAAGATGGCCACTGGCAATGGAGCCTGCCTGGCAACAGGCTGTGATTGGTTAGGACATAAACCGCCCCTTGACCGGATTGGCTGCCTTGGCTATATAAGCTGCTGTACCAACTGAAATAAATGAGTCTGCAGGCTGCTTGCTTCTGGCTTGCTTTCACCTGGCTCCTGGTGTCTGTGTGGTCACTCTGTGCCTCTTGCCCCCACCACGCTCCTCCTCTCAGAACAAATCCACATCAACACCCGGGCTTTAACGGATTTCTGGGCCAAAACATTTTAACTGCACTAAATGCCACGGCATACTACCTATCAGAAATTAACTTGTAGCTCTGTCTCCTAATAGTCTACCAGGGTCCCTGGCCAGCAAGCATTGGTATGACTCTATACATCCGTGAGCAGCCATCAAACACCGCCCTTAATGACAGCAGTGGAGACAGGTCTCACCACTGGGTGTCACCACCCTGCTGAGTGCTGAGAATGACACAGCAGGAGCCAGACGCATGTTCAGGGACTGAACGGCGGCCTGGACTTGGGCAACCGTTTCCTCTTCAAGCCTCATTCGTCTCATCTGCAGTCTGTGATTCTCTCTTTACAGAATGGTTTGAAGGATCCAAACCAGTGGATGTAGCCTGGGACCTGGCCCCTGGGTTTTTCACAATGTATGCTATGGTTTGGAGAAGATGACAATGGTGGTGGTGGTGGTGGTGGGGACGATGACAATGATGACATCATCACACGATGAAACCTCTCCTTATCATAGGTGAATGGATTTGCACAAGGCCCACCTCGGTGGCACCAGCAGGGTACTAAGAGTAGAGATGTAAAGACCAAGCAGCCGGGCGGGGAGAGAAGAGCAAGGAAGGAACAGATTCTTAGACCATCGGCACCTGGGAGGAGAGCAGGACCTGTGTGTTGGTGTGTGGGGGTGCCACTTCCTGGGAGACATGGCCCGGCTTCCCTGCACAGGGTCTGTCACTCAGTCTCCCATGGCCCTAATCTGAGCCATCTTTCTGAGCGTTAAGTTTGAGACTCGTTTGAGAATACAGTTCGTGGGATTTTCCGTCCAATGACCTAATAACTAGAGCTAAAATGTTGCCACTGCGGAATCGCTCAGGCAGCACCCACCAGGAGCAGGATGTCAGGGAGCCTGGAGAGGCACCTGCCCAGGACGTATTTTGAAATCATTTAGACAGAGAGCCCAGTGCATAACTGGAGGAGGAAGGCTGCTGGTGGCATGAGCAGCCACAGGAGCTGTCACCAAAGCCCTGGGTAAGATTCCCGACCCAGACAGGGAAACACAAGCAGTCCCTCAGAGACTGGATGAGCATCGCCAAGGTCTGAAAGCACTGGCATTCATGCTGAAAAGCTGGCAAAATGGCTGTCGGCGGGCTCGCCCTGGACACGCGGTGTGGACTGTGCCGGGACAGACTGCGGTCATCACGCTCACCGAGCTGTGCCTGCGTCCTTCAGGAGAAAAGCCTGCAGCATGCACAGTGATGCTTCCTGTGCCTGGGTGGTGGCGCCCGCCGGGGCAGGGGTGTGCGTGCACGGGGCAGAGCGCATTTACAGACGTCTGAGGTCCATGCCCCGAACAGCAGACCCCAGTGTTCTGGGGCTTTGGACTTTACCATGGAGGGGTCCAGTCACACGGAACCTCTTTGCCTAAAGAGTCCACCTTGCAGGGCCGGTGCTGTGATGCAGGGGTTAAGACACGGCCTGTACCACAGGCATCCCATATGGGCACTGGTTCGTGTCCCAGCTGCTTCACTTCCGATCCAGCTCCCTCTAATGCACCTGGGAAAGCAGCAGAAGATGGCCCGAGTGCTTGGACCCCTGCTCCCATGTGGGAGACCTGGAAGAAGCTCCTGGCTCCTGGCTTTGGCCTGGACCAACCTTGGTTGATGCAGCCATTAGGAGAGTGAACCAGTGGATGGAAGATTTCTCTCTCTCTTTCTTTGTAACTCTGTTTTTCAAATAAATAAATCTTTTTTAAAAATCCACTTGAGGCTCTTTTATAAGCTTGAAGGAACTCTCTAGAACACCCAATCCACCTCCCATAGTTACTGGGTGGAGGAAGCAGGCTTAGCGAGTCAGTGAGCTAGATAATGGCGGACAGCTCGAACAACGGCCTGGCGGCTGCCCCGGCCTCAGCAGGTCTTTCCTCCAATGGCAGCCCCAGGTCATGTGACCAGAGCCAGGCAACTGTCTGGGATTTGGGTTGTTTGGGGGAAGTCAACCCGTGGGAACTAGAATCAACGTACACCATTTGCCTGAGAAAGTGCTTGGTGGAGAGGTCACTTCACAAGTCACTGTTGGATAAACTCTCCCTGGCAAAGCCAGAAATAATTGAAGAATCTTCTCTGTTCTTGCTCTTCTTCATGACGAATGTTTGAGATCAGGCTCTGGTTATTTTTGAACAACTTTTGTGGAGGGGCCAGAGTTCAGGTGTGGTGCATAAAGCCACTGCCTGTGACTCCAGCATCCCATATGGGCGCCGGTTCGTGTCCCGGCTGCTCTACTTCCAATCCGGCTCCCTACGACTGCACCCGGGAAAAGCAATGGAAGATGGCCCAAGTGCTTGGGCCTCTGCCACTCCCACGGTGACCCAGATGGAGCTTCTGGCTCCTGGCTTCAGCCTGGCCCAGCCCTAGCTGCTGTGGCCATTTGGGGGAGTGAATCAACAGATGGAAGATCTCTCTCTCTGTCACTCTGCTTTTCTAACAAGTAATTGAATCTCTTTAAAAAAATGTTTTCTTGAAAAGTGCTGTAAACATCCAAATTATTTCACGCCGTGAGACCTGGTCTAAAGGCCGATGTGCCTCCAGGAGGGTGGCACACAACAGCACAGGCTATTTCTGGAACCTTCATCAATAAGGAAGATGAGATGCTTGGCTTAAGTGAGTTCTTTAAATTCTGAAGTGGGGTTTGTCCTGGCAACACTGGCGGCTGCTGCAGTTTCCTTCTCGTGGTAGTCACTGCGACTCGGCCCTCTCAGCGGCTCCGTCTGTGGCCATGTCAAAACCGCCTTCAAAATCTCGGAGCGTTCAATATATAACCACTTGTTAAAATTAATTACATCGTTTAACATTTCTATGCACTTTATAGTTTTAAATGTTTTACAGTCGTTTTTATTAATTAATCAAGTCTTAATGGACAAAAATCGCACCATAAAATTATTATGCATATGCTGCATTTTCAATTTTACTACAATTATCTTTAAGTATTTTCCCCAAGTGGAAAGTCACTGATTCATAAACCAGAGCCTCACACAGAAATAAGGCTGAAAATCAGAGTGTACACACAGAGAGAAATAAATCTAGCCTCGTTCTCCGAGAAGGGTTCACTTCCCTCCACGCACTCCCAAGAAAGATGAGCAACGCCAGAGCAGCCCACCCTGGGAAGTCGGCCTGGCCCTGTGTGTGGGAGAAACAGCAAAAATCCTGGCCGAGTCCCCCAGCCCCGCGAGACACGGCCCGGGACGCAGAGAATCAGCGCGGCTGTCGCTGTCTGGCCCAGCTCACCTCATTTAGAAAACGTGCGGTAATTACTGTACACACACAGACTGTCTCTCCTCTGCTTTCTCTCCCTCCCTCCTTCCTCCCCCGCCCCAACCCCACACATGAAACAGACATGGGAGACTGGCAGCTCCCATGCCTCCACCATCTTTTCCCAAAAGGCGGAGCCAGGCCCGAGACTCAGAGCTCCACGGCGTGTCTCTGGGACACAGGGTTACTCAGAGAGATGGCAGCTGTGGGGCGCGAATGACACTGAGCCTGAGAAAAGCCCCCCCACCCCGGAGTAGCCATCTCACAAAGTCATGATCAGAAAACTGCTTGTGCCAAAGCCAGAAACCAGTTACAGGTACTCCATCCTGGGGCGTGGTGGTTCCTGTATTGATGAGGCTAACTCAGAACTACCAACCCACGACGGCAAAGCAAAAAGTTCTGTCCTCTAGAGTCTCCCAGATATGCAGAGGGCTAGCAGCTGAGATAAACCATCCGGGACGGGACTGCATTTTGTTCTCAGCTGTTCTGGGAAGACAGCAGGGGCCCCACCGACCCCCGCCCGGGGCTCTCTTCCTACCCAGCACGCATGGTCGTTGGCGACAAGAATTTGGGGCAAGGTCTTCCCTAATGTGCAACATCTCATCTAAGGAAATCAGCTCCATCAGGCATCAACAACCAGGGTCAGGTGTCAGCTCTGAGCAGAGCAGATCAAAGCAACCCGACGGGGGTGCCTCTTGGAACAAGTGGAAGAGACGCGCGGCAGCCACTCCCACGGTCACTCTCCTGCGGTGAAGCGGCACTCACCTGCTGTGTAACTCCAGCCCGGAATGTGGATGGACAGCTGGCTGGCCTGACCACGAGCATGTCGGTGAGGGGCGTGGTCCTCAGCCCCTTTCGCGATAGTGTCCTGGTCCGTTCCCGCACCTGTGAATTCTGTGTTTTCCAGCGGCAGAGAGCTCGTCCAAGGACCTGCCCCCAAGTGCGCCTGCCCTGACCCCTCTGGGCTCCCCTGCAGGTGGCATTCCTGCAAAGCCGGGTTGCATCCTGGGCTTGGAAGGCTCTGGGCTCTCTGCCGTGGCTCTCCGTTAGCTGGGCCATCTACTCCATCTGCTGTCAGCCCGTGCGAACTACAGTTGAGGTTGAGTGACAGGACGGACCTGTGCCACTGAGGGCTGGCCGTGGCAGGTGGCTGGATGGGAATGAAGAGGGACTTGTCCAGGTAGTGCATTGATTTCGGACACTGCTGAGACACCCTGAAGTGGACGCAGGAACTGAACACCAGAGGGCCCTGGCCTGACGGCGTGGCTTCTGCGGAAAAGCTGTCCTCTCTGTGGTCCACGTGGGTGACCCAGGAGTCACGTCCCTCACACAGCTGTGCCTGCAGCTCTGGAACCTTCATCCTCGCCACTGAGCCATTTCTGGAGAACTCTGTGCAGGCCACAGGTCCTTGGCGCCACTGTGGGCGGGTCCCCCCAGCCAGAGCATCGTCCACCCTGCACTTGGGACACGGTGGGTCCCCAACAGTCCCCCATACCAGGGTGCCGGCTGGGGGGCCTATGCGCCTGGCGGTGATGGTGATGGATGCGAAGCCCCTGCGGGAGCCGCCGCCCCTGGCCTCACCTCTGGGAGGCAGCCCCGTCCTGGGGCCTGGCTCATCTGATGGGGCCGGGATTCCTGTGCCACCAGGAAGTAACGCAAATGCACTGTGAAGGTGCACTCCGCTGCGGGTGGTGGGAGCTGTCTTCATGTGGCACGCACGTGGCCGAGCAATGGCGCACGGCAGGGCCAATGCAGCCCCATCCTCTTTCGATTCCTTCTCATGCATCAGTTGCGGAATGACCACGGATGAAATCATCTTTGTGTGCTGTGACTCTGGAGCCCCCTGGAAATGGAAAAAAAATCCCAGTTACTCGGGCAGCAAACTCCAAGGTCCCTGGTGCCAGGGAGCTCAGTTGACGACACTCAGGGGGGTCGGCACTGGGGTGTGGTGGGTAAAGCCACCATGCGTGATGCCTGTGCCCATATGGGCGCTGGTTCATGCCCCAGCTGCTCCACTTCCAATCCTGCTCCCTGCTAATGTGCCTGTGAAAGCAGAAGATGGCCCAAGTGCTAGGACACCTGCCATCCACGTGGGAGATCTGGATGAAGCTCCTGGCCCAGCCCAGGCTACGGCAGCCATTTGGGGAATAAACCAGCGGATAGAAGATCTCTCCCTCTCTCTGTAGCTCTGCCTTCCAAATAAATAAATCTTAAAAAAAAAAAAAAAGCACTCAAAATTGCTTATCCGAGCCATTTTACCGCACACCTGGCAGTCTCGGAGTGTCTGGAAGGGCGGAACACCCAGATGTCCGTCACAGCTAAGCTGCCTGGAAGCATGAGCCAGGCTACTGATGGGGTTTTTCCCTGCTGTTTATTTAGGGGTGGATACGCCGGTCACCTGCCCTAGGACCACCTCTGGCAGGCCCAGGAGTCCACACAGCCAGGCTTACAGACCCATAAGGAGGGAAAACGGGATACAGAACGGGGCTGGGGAGCAGGCTTGTGTGTCGATGTGTCAGCTCCTGCAGGGTGACAGTGATCACGAGGCCCCGCCCCCCACTGCAGGCCCCGCCCCCTCACACTCTCCACCTCCAGGGTTTAGACGCCAAAGCAGTGGATCCTTGCTGCTGCATCACAGGAGTCCAAGTCCAGAGAGCAAGACCATGGGAAGCAGGTGCCCAAGCTGGACACTCAGCCAGACAGACCCTGAGACAGCCAGGAGGCGGGCTTGCCGCGGGCACAGGTGGCTTTTGCTGCACTCCAGGGTTCAGTTGCCTCGCCTGAGGGTTTGTGCAGGAACGGGGAATGGTGCTAATCAGCAGATGGTCGATTCTGCCAATCCCTGGCATGTCCAAGACAGTGTGATGATGTTTGAGAAAGCCTTGCCCCAGGACGAGAGCAGGCAGAGGAATCCCTCTGTCCCCGTGGGGGGTTTCTAACCCTAACCCTAACCCTAACCCAACCCTAAACCTAACCCTAACCCTAACCCCAACTCCCACCCTAACCCTAACCCTAACCCTGACCCTGACCCTAACCCTAACCCTAACCCTGACCCTAACCCTAACCCTAACCCTAACCCTAACCCTAACCCAACCCTAACCCTAACCCTAACCCCTAACCCTAACCCTAACCCTGCAGAACAGGTCATGGAAGGCTCGGCAGCACCCAGCACCCGGGGAGTGCTCACAGGGTCCCGGGCCCCACTCTGACGTGTGGTCCTCTGTGTGCCTAAAGTGAGCCTGGCTGGGAACCGCCCAGGAGCCAAAACATCGCCTGTGATGACTCAGCCCCTGATGCTGGCCAAGGGTCTGTGCCTTGGAAGCCAGAAGACCTCTGTGAAACAGCTGCTCCCAAACCCAACAGGCACGGGTATCACCTGGTCCCTGGACTCCAGAGAATCTTGTTTTTTCAAGGTAGAATTACAGAAAGAAGAGGAGCAGGGGAGAGAGGGGGAGAGTATTCCATCCTATGGTTCACTCCCCATGTAATTGTAACGGCCTGAGCTGATCCAGAGCCTGGAACTTCCTCCAGGTCTCCCACATGGGTGCAGGGCCCCAAGCACTCAGGCCATCCTCCACTGCACACCCAGGTGCATCAGCAGGGAGCAGGGTCGGAAGTGCAGCAGCTGGATCTTGAACCAGCACCCACATGGGATGCCAGCGTCGCCAGCAGAGGCCCAACCAGCTACACCGCACGCTGGCCCCTTCATGTAATCTGAACCCATCAGTCCTGGGCAGGGCCCAGGGATCTGCATTTTAACCTGCACACCTGCAAGTCTGAGGCAGGTGATCCGGGGAGCACAGTTTGGGAGGGGAGGGACTGCACAGGCTTTGCTCTTCCTGTGATGTGACACGCACGGGCAGCGGCAGGCGGCACGAATCATTCACGCAGGGATGCTGCCCTCCAGCTGGACACTTGACCCTGCAGGTCACCTGGCGGCACCATGTCCAGCGAGTGCGATCTCAGCCCCTGAGAGGCCTCGGGGGAGGCGGCCGGCTGGCTTTGCTGGCAACCTCCATCCCCTGACACACGCTGGAAGCTGCAAACTCAGACGATGCCGAGAGGCAGGCAACGGAGGAGAAATGACTCACAGAGCCATTTTGAAACTCACATCAGTTTTTAAAATCAAAATATCCCTGGCTACATCTTCCCAAACTGACAGGTGGCCGTGCAGCAGCCCGGAGTCGAGAGCAGGTTCGTTGGACCTCCTCCTCCCGCTGCGCTGCCTCCTCCCGCTGCGCTGCCACCAGGGGCGTCTGCAAGGCTGCAGGCGCCTCCTCCTGTGGGTTCTCAGCCACCTGGCAGCTTGTGAGAGCCCTGGTGCTCAGCCCCAACAGCGACATTGAAGACCCCGGGGTCTGGGCTGGGGGACGCATCGTGTCGGTTCATCTCCCCGTGGAAGTCACAGGTGCAGCGGGCAGCCTCGGCTGCAACACCCCCAGCCCCAATATACCTGTGCCCTCCCCCACTCTTCTCCCTGCGGCACTTTGCCTGGCTGTGGTTGATAAAGCCCAGTGCACCTGGCGCGTTTTGACTTGGAACAAGTCCTCCCACTTCCGTTAAATTTAGTTCTGATAATAATCGCTCCTGTGCAGCCTGCAAGGTGCCAGTCACACCGGCGGGGGCTCCTCTGACACTGGTCTTCAAAGAAGAACCCAAACACCCGTCCTGGGAAGCAGTATCCGTCGCGTTTTAGAGCAACCTCGCTGAGTTTTTGCAGCGGTGACTGCCTGCAGAAAACTGTGTGTCTCTCAATCCCTCTCTTCTTCCTTAGACCCAAGGAGCAATCAGGATCTATGGGGTATAGCCCAGAGTCTGTATTCTCAACCTGCTCCCTGTGGCTCTTCCATGCAGATACAGTGGGACAAGGCAGGTCAGACCCAGGGCCCCCGACACCCCGCCCCGAACTGGGGTTCCCAGAACAGGTGTGGGACCTGGGTGAGGCCGCAGGGCAAGGCCCATGGGGACTCCAGGCTTCCTGCTGCTGTGGTCACTGACACCGAGAGGTCATCCACCCTGGGGCTCAGGAACGCACAAGAGCCTTGGCCTTGGTGCATGGCCCAGAGTGAGTGAATGTCGTGTCCCCCTGGAGCAGGGACAGGAAAGACCCTGACTCTGCTAACTGCAGCCTGGCTCCTTGCCTGAACTGGAACAGCAAGCTGCGGCCAGAGCTGTGCTGGCCACGGTGTCACTCTGAAAGGGCCCGGAGGCCCAGGGATGGGACAAGGAACCGGGCGGGCACCACTTCATCACCCAGGCCTGGTGGCGTGGCTATGACTGTGACTCCATCAGAAAGAACTGGACGTGGGGAGAGCAGAAACGGACGGTGTGAGTGGGAACTCATTTCTGGAGCTCTGGAAACACTGGCGGAAGTTCACGTCCGTAGGACGTTCATGGTCGCTCTCTCTTCTCACAGGCCAGGCATGGATCAGAAGGAAGATGGACGGACGCGCCTCTCCTGCCCCTGGGGCTGCGCTCACTACAGCTCAGCGGAAACGCGGCCAGCTGGCGACTGCAGAGGCGGGGTGCCTCCATCCGAGTGGACCGCGTTTCAGAGCATCTGCAGGAATGCATCCGACTTTCTCTGAATAGCAGAAAGGAAAGCAGCACTTCACGCATCCAGTACACTGACACTTCGCCGTGAACATAGATGTCCGGTTTGTTTCAGGTGCAAATTCTGTCAATGACATATCACGGCCAAACCATTGGTCTGATTACCAGCCGACCAACACCTGAGCACCTCCCCCATCTCAGGCCCCATGCTGGGCACGAAGGCACCCCTGCCTTCACGCAGCCAACAGCCAATCAGGACGCCAGGACAGGGTAGTTCCAGTGTGTGGTGTTAGCTTAGACAAAAGCCCCGAATAATTCATGGAAAGAAACCAGAGAGGCAACGCTGGACTCCCGCTCCTCACCATACACAGTTCTCATGGAAGGCTTCTCGGAAGTTCTATTCTCTCATTGAGTCCCACAAATAAAGACAAGGCCAGTGACAGCTGGGCAGGCCGCTTCAACAGGGGATCGCGGTCCGTGTGGCTGAGCCAGGAGAGCGTGTTGTCTCACAGCCCTGCAGGCTGCGAGCCCCGGGTCAGGGCGCCGGCACGGCTGGGTCTCCCCAGCACCGCGTGCCTTGTAGGCGGTGCCTGCTCCCCACGTCTTCAGGTGCTCATCTCCCGGTACCTGCCTGTGTCCTAAATTGTTGTAAGGAGACCAGCCAGATTGGGTTAGGACCGCCTCAACACCCCAGTTATCTCTTTGAAACCCCAGTCTGCAAATACAGTGCGATTGTCAGGGACTGAGGGATGCCACTTCAGCATGGACATCCGGGGACCCAGTGCAGCCCAGCACCAAGCACGACACATCGCCCTGTGTCAAGCTGTCAGCCGGGTATGGGAAACTGAGACAGACGTAAAGAGGAGGAGTTATTTGATTTCCCCGCCAGCCTGCTACTTTGATAGCTGGGCACATTTACAAAGTAATCCCATCTTTTACATCAAATATCTCCCCAAATTAAGCTATCTCAGGGTGACATGCCATCTGCCTTTCACAGTGGGTTAACTAAATGTGGCTCTGCAAAGAGATGTCTTTCATCTAAGATCAAGTTAACTGACGTAAGGCTTGATTGGAAGAGAAGAGAACCATCTGGGATTTAATGCGGAGCGTCCAAGGTCGGGGAGAGGTCAGCGCAGGGGCCGGGCTTCCTCTGGCGGGGAACCATCTGCCTCCTGAGCTTCGGCACGGACATGGCTGCGGGTCCTGGCTCACGGCTGCCGCTGTAGGGCACTGATTTCTTTGTCAAGTGATGATCACAATTCTGTAAGCGTTGGCAACTGCTTTCGTGGT